CCATTTTATTAGGTGATTAATTTACCTTCTGCAATAGGAATGCCGGTACTAGTACTGTTATCCCTCACAAGCTCGAACTTGTAACCCAATCCATCAACGGCTCCTCTCTCACGCCAAGCCTCGAGCCGTCCCCACGGTTTCCAGCTGCTAACACAAGTCCCATGAGGCCTGAGGATAAGCCACGCGCCAGGGTTAGATCTCGAGACACGATCTGACCCTGGAGACGCCACGAAAGGAGTGATCATAGAAGCTGCTGCTACTGGAGATCCCGACAAATCATGGATCGTTATCATCCAACCTTTACGCTCTCTCGCTTGTTTCTTCTCCCATTGGTCACCTGACAATGTTCTTGTAATCCATCCTCTACTACTATATGTAAATCCAGACGGTAAAGACCTAAACAAAACAGAAAAATACCAAAATCTCCATCAAAAGTGACCACTTGTGTGAACTAATAAGGTGTTTATATGCTAAAATCATGAACTGACTAAGCAATTACTTAGCAAAGCAGAAGCAAAATAGAGTTGATGATATTGTTATTACCGAGATCTTCCGTTACGATCGGAGCTGAATTTGCAGCTGAAGACAGGCTGTTTGATATTCCCTTGAATCTGATAAACCACAGGGCTACATTCCGGTTCACCGCCGAACTGAAACACGAACCGAGGATCCGGTTCAGCGCGTACCAATAGATGTAACCGAGCCGACGGTTTATCTCCTTCACCACCGAGTTTCATCCAACCGCTATGAAACGCGACGGTTCTGGAAAGCGCCGCCGCGAGATCCACCGCTACTTCGACTCTTCCTAAAATTTTCCCGGAAGCGACGCCGCAAGTGTGACCAGTACGACCGGCGTAAACAGAGACACGGAGTGAGATCTTCTTACCGGAGACTCGTCGGATCGCATCGGCGTCGAGGTGAAATCCGGGAGCTGAAGTTGAGGATTCCGGCGGAGAGGAAGCGTCGGAGAAGGAAGAGAGAGGGAGAAGTGCTTTCTGTGAAGGGAAATGTTTGATCCGGAGTTTGCAGTAACAAGGGGTCGAAGAAGGATGTACTTCGCCGCCGATTTGCTTGTTCGTAGCCGTCTCCGGTAGTCTCAGAGCTAGAGAATCTATTGTAAGCCGTACAAAAGGACATGGATCCATCACGAGATCCTTCGAGTATCGTTTGAAAAATTGTGTGATTGGTTAAAGAGAAATTGAAGAAGCAGGAATCAGTTGAGTTTTCATGAGGTGAGAGAGGGGGAAAAATGTGTCGTCGTCGTTATTGGCTTATTGCTGGTTCTCGTTTTTTGTAGCAAACATGAGAGAAGTGGGGCCCAGAGATGGTTTATTTGATTTTCGATTTTTTGTTTTTTTCGGTTTTGTTTGGCCGTATTTTTTATTTATCGCGGGAAATTCGGCGGCACAATAAAACAATTTAATCATTTTCATTATTTGGGTCATTTTTGAAGGTTTTTTATTTATTTTTCTTGTTGAAGAACAGATGTATATTCATGAATCTTGCATTATTTTTTATTGTTTTTATAGAAAGAAATCTTGCATTTTTTGCTTATTACTTTTTGTCAACAATCGTTTATTTTTTTTGTTATATTCGAAATATATTAAGGGTTCTGTTGATTTTTAGACCTTGATCTTGCATAGTTAACAACAACAAAAAACTTTTTTTTTTTAATTTAATTAGTCATTGTGATAAAACCTTAACAATTTTACTTAGAAAATTATAATAACTTTTGAATAATCTTCTTTACTTTTTAAAGTAGAAATTACATGATATTTTATTGGTCTATTTTATTAGATTGTTTTGCAAAATTATATATATGTGTTAATTTTTTATAAATGAGTTTATTATACTATTTTCTCAACTTCACCTCTCTCCTTGATTTCATCTATTCTCATAAAATTGAGAAAATAGTCCAATGAACCTCATTGTAAAAAGTAGACGATTATGAACACATATTTAAATATTGGTGGTGTATTAATAAAGACTACAACATATGATAACCTAGCGCAGCTGCCGCTCATCCCTTCTATTTTCTGCAGGAGATCGACACTCGATGGCTCCTTTGGCACCGGCATGGTGTCCTTTTTCATGTTTATGCTTTTGTAGATTTTACAGTATTTAACGTTCTTCCATGAATAGCAGATATGGTCTGTTTCAACATGGAAATGGCTTCGTTGCAGTATTGTTAGTGATGATGGTGACGTCAGACCGATTGTCAATGAGGTGGCTTTGTCTACAAACCTTTATGTCATCGCTCTTACCCTGTCTCTTTCGATTAGATCTGCAGAGCCAACTCGAATTGCTCGTCAGTCAGTCGATTTGGGACTTTCGTCCTTGTCCTTTGAGACGAGTTTGTGAACCCCTCAAACTCTTCCCAATTGGTTTCTTCTCCTTTTCGCCTTGAGATTGCTTTGGTTTCTCATCGATTTTGTTATGTTGTTTGGTTTGGTCTCTTGAGCTTGATTTAAACCCGTTTTGCAGCTCAAATTTGTTCAGCTATAATGTCTAAAACAAAATTGATAAATGCAATCATAGAAGGAGTCTTATCTAATTTAAGAATTGTTGTTGTGTTATCATAAAAGATATTAAAAATCTGACTACTATTATGATACATAATTTTTTATCTTAGACTCAAGACAAAGTCGTCTTAGTATCGCTAATATGTCTCAAAGATGCATATTCTCACTTAATTTCCCCTTTCATTGTATCTGCTAACTCTTTTTATGATATAATATAGGGTGATTTTGGTGTATAACAAAAAAAAAAAAATTAAAAAGTTAGTAAAAAATGGGGTATGTGGCAAAATCTTAGCCATTAAATTTGGGGTTTTTTGTTACTTTTTAAATTATAATTTTTTGTTGTATTGATAGCAAATTATCCCT